TATTAGTGCTGTTCAATACAAATTAAAACGAGCCCCCCCCCCCCCCCGCCCCCTTCATGTTATGGAGCCAGGCTAATTAGGAGTAGTACTGGCTTTTACCCGCTTAAAACGTTTCCATCACGTTACATAATACTCAATAAATGAAATAGATTCGTAGTGTTGCAATTAATTTAAATGATGTTCTTATATGATTGCATAATTTATTGTCAATTTGTTTTATTTCAGTATTATGTAATGGGATGGACGCGTTTCACAAGCTGTGTAACCAGTCCACGCCCTGGCTCTATTATAAAAGAAGAATTGTTTCACTTCTAGATAAAAAGCTCCATCTTCTTATTGCTTGCTTTATTTTTGGCAGTACTCGAGTACTTTACTGCTATAATGTCTTCACTACAACCAGGAAAGCCTGATATTAGGCTTCCATAGCTTCGAAAATGTATTTAAATTCTGTGTTTTTAAATTTAGTTCAATTAATGGCCGATGAAATGTATCTACGTTAGATAGTGTACCTACGTGATGTAGCTTCTTGTCGACTGGCAGCTCACGTACTACCGAATTAACTTCCATATTCCATTGTTACTCCAGTATCATTATGTTATTATTCTATTAAAATTGCTTTCCTTGGCCTTGCTTTCCTTGGCCTTTTATGTTGTAGTTAATTTTGGAAGCTTATATTGGCTCTATGTTTATACCTAGTTATTATCATTCTAATTGAATCTTTGTTGGACAAGTTGTTTTTTGTTTTCTAATTAACCATACCTCACACCATAGTGTTCATCACTGATAAAATAGCTAACTATCCTTGTATGCTGTAGCCTATTTTAGCATTAATTGCTGTAGCCTTACATTCTACATATAAGCATATATTACGCAACAATATAGTTTCATATTTCCGGTCAAATATGTTCCTCCACCATCTTCATAATAGACCATCACGACTCCATTATTGCCAATTTGGACGACTTGTAATGGTAAAATTGGATTGTTAATAACAATTAGCAGTATCAGTAAAAAGAAGCTATCAGTATCAGCTTATCAGGTTTTCTGAAGGTATAGCTGCTCTGATAATAACTATTTCATGCTTAAAGCGATCTAGTGATCTGATATTTTTTGACATTTCGTTTTTTGAACAAATGTTGTCAGGCGATAGGTTGCATTTATATAATTATATATTATACATGTAGTTATATACATGAAGTGAAATACGTGTAGTGAAATATAACGTGTATTAAAATACGTGTAGTGAAATATAACGTGTATTAAAATACGTGTAGTGAAATATAACGTGTATTGAAATACGTGTAGTGAAATATAACGTGTATTGAAATACGTGTAGTGAAATATAACGTGTATTGAAATAAGTGTAGTGAAATATAACGTGTATTAAAATACGTGTAGTGAAATATAACGTGTATTAAAATACGTGTAGTGAAATATAACGTGTATTGAAATACGTGTAGTGAAATATAACGTGTATTGAAATACGTGTAGTGAAATATAACGTGTATTGAAATACGTGTAGTTAGAGTGTGTTTAGAGCTCCTAATATGGAAGCTGATATACTTCTCTTCTGAAATCTCTGTATGGAGTTGTATATCGTAGAGAGTTTAAATACAGAGTACCTTCTAAAGAGAGTTGTTTGTTCGTAGAGTATAAACAATAGGACACCCACTTTATATTATACGGAGAGAAGTGATTTTCTCTTTTTGCTTTCGAGAGTGCCGTCTTTTGATTCATGACTCCCCCAATTTTGTCCTCGTCGGTCGTTCTATTGTTTCCGCGATTATCTGGAAACCACTGATGATACAGTTGAAAATTTAGCAGTGCCTATTTCGAGAATACTTCTACCGGAGAATGTCTTGGTGCAGGATAAACGATGCTACTATCTCATCTCCAGTGCATTGTGCTCAGTTGGACAAAGTATCAGTATCGCTCCGGTGATTGACCCTTAATTGGTGCCAGTAATAGCAATCATGTGGGTGATCTCGTATCACAAACCCCTGGAGTTTGTACCCTGTACATTCCAACGAACCAATGCAGTCGATTAAAGCTATAATTACCGACTACCGTTATTCTGTTATTCCGTTAACTCTTTACATTTACAGGCTGTAAATGGCAGATGATAAGAAAATATGAACTTGAAGTGCTTGCAATGACTACAATTTGTTACGGATAAAGTAAGCCTATAACTCTATCTCTCCATAATGTTTCGATATCATATGCATATTCCCATTTATTAAGTGGCGGCGGGATGTCGTTTGATCCGGATCGTACTACTACTTGCTAACTTGCTTACTTGGTACTGCGCTTACCGATACCAATTTTTTTCGCATTTCATTTTATGATCATGTTTGTTGTTTATTCTTCAGAACAAGCTTCCTTATAAGAGTCTAAGAGTATAACGGTCTTGCTGCTTTAGTTTATTTCATGCAACGCTATCCCGAATGAGATTCAAACTCGAGTATTTTCTTACATAAGAGTTAACAGAGCCATGTTTTAATTCGAAACGAAAATCTCGAATAGACAGATTCAGTAACTGTAGCAATATAGTGTATCCTGAGCCTAGCTACAGTCCAGACAGCTTGTAAGACGTTAAACACAACATAATATTACAAGCTGGGAGCATTTATAGCTAAGAGAACAACTCCACCAAATCATTGGTACTGTCTGAACTTGAACCTGCACTGCAACTGTACAGACAATGATCGAGAAGAGGAGAGAGAGCGCAATAATCACACACAGATCTATCAGATCATTTTCCATCCACTAACTCCGCAAGCAATCATCTCTACTCCGCAAACGATCAAGAATACTCCTCAAAATCCGCAAAGAAAGTCGATAATTTCTTCTCTACACGACATGTAATGAGAGAGAACGCGTCTGCTTGTGTCTCATCCTCACGAGACCACTCCTCTACTAAAATTAACTGAACGTCTAGTGCGAGGTTTGCTCTGGGCGGGTAATCATACCCCACCCTTCTCCACTCTTCTCCTCTCATTAGGATTCCTCTTACATATCCAGTACAATGGAAGATTGTTGGCGGAAATAGTCATTATCCAGCATGCAGCACTGAACACCCACTGAAACTCTGCTGGACAATGATCCTGATTTCATCCGGTAATTGGTCACATAGCGTGGCACGGCTGATCTTGCCGTGTAGTCATATCTGGGGAGTGAGAGGTGTTAAGTATAACTGGTTGGGTATATGATCGCGGGGGATGTGATGTTCTGAGTTACAAATACAATGTGTGTTATACATGCAACTACTCAGTACTCATTTGCTCTTTTGCTCTCCGTTTAGGAACGCTACTATTACTATTGTTGAATAGGAGTTAAGGCTTTTGTCAACTTTGCTTTTTTGCAACTACAAACTTTGTTTGATATTATATTCGACTACGTTCGAACCTGCAATTTTAAAAACCTTCAACGGCGCGTGTTACGCCCTAACGTTGCTCTAAGTCTATCCGTTCAGTTGCTAACAGCTACGAAAACCCTAACCCTAACTTATAAAACTAATTCAAAACTGGAGGGGAAAATGTTGGGGTATGTCCTCTTTCCCCAACTTTTTGTCCCTATTCTGTTAATTCTATCCTCCAAGTCCATACCTTGCGGTAGTTATTTTCAGACAGGGGTGCTAGACAGTTAGACATCCTACTCCTAGGATGATACAAGCGCCCTGCCACTATATACTAACGATCCCCTCCTGTAACCACCGTCTTAAATTGAGGCCATGATGTCGCCAGGGTAAACGTTAACCTGCTCACTTCGTTAACTTGCTCAGCTGTATGTCGTTTGATATGTAACTGGGTACAATAGATCTGAATGTTAGGGGTGACCGGTGAGTTGAACCATACCGACACGTGACAGGGTTTAACCATCAGCAATTCCACTGTTGGTCAATCAAAACCCAGAGTCAAGCTGTCACGTGTAGAAACAAGTCCCGTGTAGAAACAAGTCACGTGTAGAAACAAGTCTCCTCACCACCAGTATATCTATCAGAATTCTTGAGATTTTAACAATTTGATTCGTTTAGAGTCGATCGTGATGTTAAATCCTGAATATTTCACAATTGTCAAGTCATTTAAGATCGTGAAGATATAGAATTACTAGAAGTGCAAAACATCGTACATTTGTGTTGACTTTTGTGAACAATGATATACTGTGCGTTTAATCCTTTTAATGGAGAGCATGGATCTCGTTCCATGCCAAAGAGTACAGTTTGGGTTATGTCCATGGAATTCTCAGATTTGTCATAATTAAGTTAATTACAGTGATTAGTGATATCAAAACCGCTTGTTCGGATATGAAGGCTAGTGACTAAGCGTAAGATTTTATAATTGACCTGAATTAAATTAATTACGGCAAATTCCAACATTCATTTAAATTTCCGAAGCTGGAGAATCAACGACCAGGTTCTTCTCTGTTTAATTTTTTATGTATAATTTCGACTTTGATGTTAGCCGCAAAATCAACGTTTAACATCTTTAAGCTTATTCCACCCAATTAATGTATCAATGTTTCAAACAGGTTTTTTGAGAATTTCGATTTTGAAGCTCCTTCATCATAGATTATGATACCTTGTGGTTAATCCTTAAACCATAAGGGTTATTGGTTCGGATTCTCGTCAACACGCTGTTCGTATAAGAAGAATAATCATCAGACTAAGGAGCAATCAGCCTCGGTGTTGACGGCATCTAATAATAAATAGTTGTTTGGCTGTTATTGTTTACCATAATCGACAAAAGATGAGGAATGTTCCGATCGTTTTACCTCCATAAGCATACAAATTTCAATAACAGTGGGTATTGCGATTCAGTAATAAATATGTGATGTGCTTAACCTGTTGAACACTATTAATTCATCGTTCAAGAAAAGATGGTCATAATTTAGAAAAGAAGAACCTAAACGTAGGATGTGTAAAGGGTAAGATGAAGAACTTTACCATCAGTTTCATTCTCAATAAGTAATTTTTAACCATATTTTCAGTAACACTTCTTCTTAGCGTCCTGATAAAAAGAAATGAGTGACTGATAAGGGAAATGCTTACCTTCGTGACATGAGAGGATGGGTAACCTCGCTGCTATTATTCGTTATCTCCTGTTACCATGGTTACTGTCTCACTGATGAGGAGCTTAAGGTGGTTCGGGATGCGGTGATTAACAGACCTAACCTTGTTATAAATGGTATTCAGTTGTCTCAGGTGAGCAATTGTGTTTGTACCATTTTGAAAACGTATGATGCTGAAAGTTTTGAAAACTAATTGCGGAGGACAGTGGAAATTGTTTTTATTTTCAATTGGAAAGTGTTTCGTTACGATCCACTATGATTTAAAATAATTTAGTTATATTTTAACAGTACAGTCTAGTGGAACTGTCTTAATACATCATATTTCTGTTATGTAACCAACACCTCTTCCTTCAGCTGGAGATGAAAGAAGAGAATGCTGGAAGGCTGTCGTTTAGAACTAACAGTAAACCTGGCTACATAGAACCCGACAAGTCGGGCTATCCGGTGGATAAAGATGTCCAACTTAATGTAAGTACCTGATAGGTGTACAGCTGCTGCTTTTTAAGATTATTATTTGTATCACGTGCATCCAATGGAACAATTATACAAGTTTAGAAGTTTTCACTTATCGCAATTTATTAACAAATCATACTATGATAAGCTCCTGCACCTTCAGATACCCAAGTTCCCGATGTACGGTGACAGGTCTAGTTGCCTCCCCACGGGGGAGCCCGTGGGAATAACAATACTGGGAACTTTGATATACTCCGTGTCTCTTGCCCTTCCAGGTAAACGAAAACGAAGTGAAAGTGAAAGTGAAAGTGAAAGTGAAAGTGAACATATGTACATTGTATATGTTTCCAGGAATATATAGAATACAAGGGCGATGAAATCATGTTACATGTCTGACCGCGCTTAGAATTCTTCACGGTTTAATATCAGCTGCATGTCTTTCAAGCTGACAGCTGTATACATCATTTACTCGTGTTCTAGAAATTGATGACATATTTCTGACACTCCAATACTCAGGCTGCCCCCAAGCAGATGAGCCAGTGATCGGGGACGGTATCCCAGATGGGGTGAAAGAACCTGATTTTGATGAGTGTGGAGGTCAAGTGGGAGAGAATAGAACGTATCGGGTTTACACTTGGAGTGACTGTTTTGAAACTCTCACTTGTTCCGAGCCTTCCGGAATGATTGGTGAATATTGTTTGATAGTTTTAGTCCAAATATTTCTGCTGCGAGCACATGAACGTTCTATATGGCGAGATTTCTATCAAATTCGATCCCTTTCAAAAATATACAATTCTATAGTCGATTTATCAAGGACAATTTCAGGTGTTGCTTTAGATGGTTACCCTATATACGGTCCGATAGACGAAACAGGAAGACAGCTCACGACTGCGGACCTTGACGAGTGTCACGGCAAAGTCTCTGATGGCCAATACAGGTGAGAGCCCCCCCCCCCCCTGGGAGGCTGCAAAATATCGTGAACATCGCAAATTAAAGTCGTTATATAGTATTACAAATGGGAATAAATTCAGTAATAATATCCATGATTATGTAGTTAAATTTAGTGATATTGATAATGAATAATTGAATATTTATTTTAGGTACCACGCGACTGTAGACTACCCTTACTTCATCTCCTGTTTCAAGGGAATTGTTCCCGAGGACGTTGGAATAAGATACCCGATAAAATGCACGTGTCCGTACGATGATACACCTTATATTGACCCTGATAGGATACCCTTTCCCAATTACACAATAGGTATTGTTCTTCTCGGAATCATTCAATTTTAGTTCTTGACCACATTTGTAGGAATATGAAAGCATGCTTACAAGTTAAAGACACGTGTTCTTGTAAAGTGGAAGTGAGATTGAAAAATATAACCCTCCATTACGTTGAATGTATTTGCAACCAATTTGAATTATTATATAAAATGGTCATTTTCAAACATTCCTACATATTCCAGCCTACGAGTGGACGCCCATTTACCGCAATTTATCACTATATCCCTGTCAACTTTGTTCGGGGGTTAGAAAATACAACACAGCTTTCAGTTCGGATTCGTGGCTCAACTATAACAAAGTAAGTTAATTAAAAGTGACAAAATTTATCATCACGGCGCGGCAGCTTGCTAATTTTCGGTTTAATTTCTCCATGTTGATTCCCCACTATTTAGTATTTATCCAGCCATGTTCAAGATCCAATGTTGCATTAAAAACAACTGTTCTGATTTCAGGTAAAGCAGATAGTACAGGTGTGTAACATAACTACAGATAGCAGATTTACTGATGTTATCAAGAGGAGGTTAACTCAAGGCCGGCTACCTCCTGATAAGGAATACAACTATTTTAGATCCCTCAGTAACCCGCATGACAGTTATTTCAAAGGTAGGTGACCCTAGTTTTACAAATTATTTCTTGATCGTTATACATTCTTGTTTTATGATGTCATATTTTTTGCCGACAAGAAAAACAACATTTTTCAGAAAGTCGGTAATTATTTAGAATTGCAATTTAATAACCAACTTGCACCAACCTTTACTTGTAGTATATGAAAATGAAAGTGAAAATGAAAGTGAAAGTGAAAGTGAAAGCGAAAAAATTGAAAGTGAAAGTATATGCTTATTAATGCTTTTCACATTTCTTTCAGAGAACACCTCCCCCAAATCAAAATCAGATGCTCTTGGGCTTACGTGGCGGACATTGGACTTTAAAGCAAACTTCTTTTCGATCTTGTGGGCATATGTAATCTACTGCTTCCTTTGATTTCATATTGCTCTTGTATTTTATAATTTTTTAGTTGGTTCAAATAGGATTAGGAGTGACACAATAAGTAAAGACTATTGTTAAGCATACGCATTTCAGACTGTAACAATGAAATAAAATCGATGACACTGTATATTTTTTTGTTCTCAGGGAATTGATCTCGTGAGAAAAAACAATTATCACGATCAAGGATATTGAATATAAACTTTACTTTTATATTAAACTTCCGATGTACATCAACAACAGCTTAAATGAACTTTATCATAATCAAACTGAATTAAGCATTTGATTCCAAACATGAATAATTTCATACAGCAAGTTACATTTTATGCAATTTTATAATTAATGATTTAATTAGATTATCCTTCTTTTCGACAATTTTTATTTTTAAAACTTTATACATTAATACACAATATGATTGGCATATCGCATTCAACCTTGACATGATTAATCACTCTACACTCGACTGTCACGTGATGTTTTCAGCCCGTTCTCTAGCGCAGTAGCTGGCCGGCCCTGAATAAATATTCGAAACCCTAACCCTCTAATCTGATCCCAACCCTAACCGGCCCTAACCCAATCCCTAACAAAAACATATGCTGAAACTCTAACCCTAACGAGAAATTAGACCAACTTCCTTATAGTTATACGGTCATATCACATGATCGAGACAGTTGTTCACCAATATCTTGCCAGGGGAGCATTTTAACCCTATGTCATGGGGGTGATACTGATTTGGAATCAGCGTCCGAAAATTCATCAATTCAAGTTGTTGATTCACGATGTCAATCCTTCGCAGCTAGGTGAGGCACAGTGGTGCATCTCGCCGATATACCGAAGTGGTTGCGAGAAGAATTATTTGATGCGCGGCGCGACCCAGTAGTGCATCGCGCTACAATTCAAGTTGGTTCATGGTTTCAAGTTCAACTGTCAGGGGCCCTTTTAGAAAAATCTCGAAGATCGAGTGTAGAGTGATTTAGCACGCTCGATTTATAACTCGACAAAAACATATGCACTTGGGTCAAGTCATTTAATAATTGGACGAGCAAATAATAATAATTAAAAGCTTATTATATAGTGGAACTAGGAGAATTTCAGCAAATACAATTTACAAATTTGAAATTACTTGGGCCGGCCGAGTTTACCTGGGGACCTCAGGCTATCATGTTATTGTTCATTATTGTAGCGCGATGCACTACTGGGTCGCGCGCGCGCATCCAATAATGCTTCTCGCAACCAGATCGGCGAGATGCGAAGGATTGACATCGTGAATCAATGTTCATTAGAGATTAGGCGGAATGACAGGCTGAGCGCGGCCCAGTAAGGCCGAGTATGCTTTTTGAAGTGAATGATATATTCAAAAACGCATTTGTTTTATTTCTTGGATGCATGAATAAATATAATTACTTTACACTCGACTGTCACGTGACTTTTTAAACACGTCCTCTATTAGGTGGCTCTAAGTCTAAATGACTATTTGAAATCCTGACCCTCTAATTATAATTTAACGGGTGATACTCGTAAAATATCTGTTCCATATATTGGACCGTCGACGAGGACCGTCGACGAGTCCAACTCGGCGCGCGTCCTGGTAGGTTGTAAACCTACAAATTATAATTTGATCGGATGATGATTAATAACTCTACACTCGACTGTCACGTGAGCTTTTAAACCCGTTCTCTGATCTAGCTGGCCCTGAACGACTATTCGAAACCCTAACCCTCTAATTTGATTCTAACCCTAACCCTTGCTCTAACCAGAGCCCTCTCGCTTGCAGTAGCGCGCGACCGCCGAAACAAGCGCGTCACGCAGTACGCGTATACACATGGCTATGTCAATGTAAACCCTAACTCTATAACTATAACCTAATCTCTAAAAAAGCATATGCTTAAACCCTAACCCTAACTAGAAATTAGACCAACTTCCTTACATGGTCATACCACGTGATGATCGAAACAGTTTTTCGCTTGTGGCGCGATGCACTACTGGGTCGCGCCGCGCATTTTCTCGCAACCACGTATGCAGATCCAAGATCGGCGAGATGCGAAGGATTGACATCGTGAATCAAGTGTTTCGCCTATATCTTGGTAGGGGAGCATTTAAATCTTGTGTCATGTGCATGGGGTGCATAGAACACAACTCGGAATACTTAGTGGCCTTAACATTCAACTTAGGCAGAACATAGCTTAACGACAAAACATCTGCAATCTGATATTACAACTTCAGAAACCGAGGAGTGTCATTTTTGAATTAAAAATTAATAATTCCAAAAATGAGTCAAAAATGAAACAAAATGAGTCTCAAAATGGCCGAGGAGACTCATTTTTGTCGGAATATTGTTTGGTACTGCATGCTTGGCCATGGCCGAGGAGGTTCATGGTCGGAAAATTGTTTGGTACTGCTCGGCCATGGCCGAGGATACTCATTTTGTCGGAATATTGTTTGGTACTGCTCGGCCATGGCCGAGGATACTCATTTTGTTGGAATATTGTTTGGTACTCCTCGGCCATGGCCGAGGAGACTCATTTTTGGAAGGCGCAGTTTATATCTCCGCCAAAAGCAAATTTGTAAGCACTCACGCGCATTATATCCAAATGTGATTTTAAATTTTCGCATTGGATCGTTGCGCATTAGATGGTTGCTAAGCCGCGCCCTCCAGCATTATTCCTTCAATTGAGACCTTCGCCCCGCATTTAAGCTACTCGTCTGATATGATACCTTTATTTTTTAACAGCTTATTTTTTAAACATTTGATCAATTATTCTGTCTTATTTTGTTCCATTTTAAACTGTACGATTAATTGTGAGTGTGTTTTATATACATTTGAGTTCACAGTTGTGAACTTTATTTTCAGTATTTTATGTGACAGAGATTAGTTTAACTAATATTTGCTTCTCCTAAATCAGCTTATTTTTTTAACATTTGATCAATTATTCTGTCTTATTTTGTTCCATTTTAAACTGTACGATCAGTTGTGTATGAAAATTATAATGATTGTCACGAGATGTTTGATCTAGTTATTAGAGTTGAGCTATTCCTAGTCCTTGCTATGACAGTATTAAAACTGCAATAGTTGTCACGAGATGTTTGATCTAGTGGCTAGAGTTGAGCTATTCCTAGTCCGTGCTATGACAGTATTAAAACTACAATAGTTGTCACGAGATGTTTGATCTAGTTATTAGAGTTGAGCTATTCTTAGTCCTTGCTGTGACAGTATTAAAACTACAATAAATGTCACGAGATGTTTGATCTAGTTATTAGAGATGAGCTATTCCTAGTCCTTGCTATGACAGTATTAAAACTACAATAGTTGTCACGAGATGTTAGATCTAGTAGCTAGAGTTGAGCTATTCCTAGTCCTTGCTATGACAGTATTAAAACTAAAATAGTTGTCACGAGATGTTTGATCCAGTTATTAGAGATGAGCTATTCCTAGTCCTTGCTATGACAGTATTAAAACTACAATAGTTGTCACGAGATGTTAGATCTAGTAGCTAGAGTTGAGCTATTCCTAGTCCTTGCTATGACAGTATTAAAACTAAAATAGTTGTCACGAGATGTTTGATCCAGTTATTAGAGTTGAGCTATTCCTAGTCCTTGCTATGACAGTATTAAAACTACAATAATTGTCACGAGATGTTTGATCTAGTTATTAAAGTTGAGCTATTCCTAGTCCTTGTTATGACAGTATTAAAACTACAATAGTTGTCACGAGATGTTTGATCTAGTGGCTAGAGTTGAGCTATTCCTAGTCCTTGCTATGACTGTCATTAAAACTGTAATAATTGTCACGAGATGTTTGATCTAGATCAAACATCTCGTGACAACTATTGTAGTTTTAATACTGTCATAGCAAGGACTAGGAATAGCTCAACTCTAATAACTAGATCAAACATCTCGTGACAATTATTGTAGTTTTAATACTGTCATAGCAAGGACTAGGAATATCTCAACTCTAGCCACTAGATCAAACATCTCGTGACAACTATTGTAGTTTTAATACTGTCATAGCAAGGACTAGGAATAGCTCAACTCTAGCCACTAGATCAAACATCTCGTGACAACTATTGTAGTTTTAATACTGTCATAGCAAGAACTAGGAATAACTCAACTCTAATAACTAGATCAAACATTTCGTGACAACTATTGTAGTTTTAATACTGTCATAGCAAGGACTAGGAATAGCTCAACTCTAGCCACTAGATCAAACATCTCGTGACAACTATTGTAGTTTAATACTGTCATAGCAAGGACTAGGAATAGCTCAACTCTAATAACTAGATCAAACATCTCGTGACAACTATTGTAGTTTTAATACTGTCATAACAAGGACTAGGAATAGCTCAACTCTAATAACTAAATCAAACATCTCGTGACAACTATTGTAGTTTCAATACTGTCATAGCAAGAACTAGGAATGACTCAACTCTAATAACTAGATCAAACATCTCGTGACAACTATTGTAGTTTTAATACTGTCATAGCAAGGACTAGGAATAGCTCAACTCTAGCCACTAGATCAAACATCTCGTGACAATTATTGTAGTTTTAATACTGTCATAGCAAGGACTAGTAATAGCTCAATCTAGCCACTAGGTCTAACATCTCGTGACAACTATTGTAGTTTTAATACTGTCATAACAAGGACTAGGAATAGCTCAACTCTAATAACTAGATCAAACATCTCGTGACAACTATTGTAGTTTTAATACTGTCATAACAAGGACTAGGAATAGCTCAACTCTAGCCACTAGATCAAACATCTCGTGACAATTATTGTAGTTTTAATACTGTCATAGCAAGGACTAGGAATATCTCAACTCTAGCTGCTAGATCTAACATCTCGTGACAACTATTGTAGTTTTAATACTGTCATAACAAGGACTAGGAATAACTCAACTCTAATAACTAGATCAAACATCTCGTGACAACTATTGTAGTTTTAATACTGTCATAGCAAGGACTAGGAATAGCTCAACTCTAGCCACTAGATCAAACATCTCGTGACAATTATTGTAGTTTTAATACTGTCATAGCAAGGACTAGGAATATCTCAACTCTAGCTGCTAGATCTAACATCTCGTGACAACTATTGTAGTTTTAATACTGTCATAACAAGGACTAGGAATAGCTCAACTCTAATAACTAGATCAAACATCTCGTGACAACTATTGTAGTTTTAATACTGTCATAGCAAGGACTAGGAATAGCTCAACTCTAATAACTAGATCAAACATCTCGTGACAACTATTGTAGTTTTAATACTGTCATAACAAGGACTAGGAATAGCTCAACTCTAATAACTAAATCAAACATCTCGTGACAACTATTGTAGTTTCAATACTGTCATAGCAAGAACTAGGAATGACTCAACTCTAATAACTAGATCAAACATCTCGTGACAACTATTGTAGTTTTAATACTGTCATAGCAAGGACTAGGAATAGCTCAACTCTAGCCACTAGATCAAACATCTCGTGAGAATTATTGTAGTTTTAATACTGTCATAGCAAGGACTAGTAATAGCTCAACTCTAGCCACTAGGTCTAACATCTCGTGACAACTATTGTAGTTTTAATACTGTCATAACAAGGACTAGGAATAGCTCAATTCTAATAACTAGATCAAACATCTCGTGACAACTATTGTAGTTTTAATACTGTCATAACAAGGACTAGGAATAGCTCAACTCTATAGCCACTAGATCAAACATCTCGTGACAACTATTGTAGTTTTAATACTGTCATAACAAGGACTAGGAATAGCTCAACTCTAATAACTAGATCAAACATCTCGTGACAACTATTGTAGTTTCAATACTGTCATAACAAGGACTAGGAATAGCTCAACTCTAATAACTAGATCAAACATCTCGTGAAAATTATTACAGTTTTAATACTGTCATAGCAATAAGGACTAGGAATAGCTCAACTCTAGCCACTAGATCAAACATCTCGTGACAACTATTGTAGTTTTAATACTGTCATAGCAAGGACTAGGAATAGCTCAATTCTAGCCACTAGATCAAACATCTCGTGACAATTATTGTAGTTTTAATACTGTCATAACAAGGACTAGGAATAGCTCAACTCTAATAACTAGATCAAACATCTCGTGACAACTATTGTAGTTTTAATACTTTCATAGCAAGGACTAGGAATAGCTCAACTCTAGCCACTAGATCAAACATCTCGTGACAATTATTGTAGTTTTAATACTGTCATAACAAGGACTAGGAATGGCTCAACTCTAGCCACTAGATCAAACATCTCGTGACAACTATTGTAGTTTTAATACTGTCATAGCAAGGACTAGGAATAGCTCAACTCTAATAAATTTTATTCGTTGTTATGACAATAATATAACTCAGTATGTTAACAAGTTTTTGAAAAGACTGTAGAAGAAGATATCATGCCTCATTCGTTGGAGTTCTCAGACCCGTCGACACTCTACTGCACAATTTCTAAGAAGAGGGTTGACTTCCTCAAAATGGGAAACAGGAGAAAAAGCTACAGACCATCAAGGCAGAATTAAAAGAATCATTTACCTAATACTTTTTAACAGTCACAGAGTTTTATAATAAAACTTTGTAAGAATTTTGATCGTTCTTTAAAGTTGTGTTTTGTAACATCATATTTTGTATTTCTCGACTCAAAAAAAGCATTATTATATAACAAACGAATCTTTTATCATTAAAGCATTTCATGCTTTACTGCCGGTTTACTATACGACTGAAGTGCACAATTGTATGGAAAAGTAAATTTATTCTCAATAATACGGGAGGAGGTGTTCTAACCAAATTGTACTAATATCACCCCGTAGGTATACCGGTACCGGTACACCGTAGGTACCGGTTTATTCTCTACTAAATATCGCCCATGTACAATATCGTCTCGGCCATGCTATTAATGTGCCAAGTTCGAATTCGGTTTCTTGCACTTTACTTATATATAATATTTTGCTTCCTATAAACTGGTATGTTAGGAAGCAAAAGTGGCTGTTTAATGTAACTTCAGGAAGGCGCGACTGTGAAAATAGTTGAGAAAACTACGCGCATTAATGCTAAAATGTGATGCTTTTGGCGGAGATATAAACTGCGCCTTTTTGGAATTATTAATTTTTAATTTAAAATGTAAAAATGACACTCCTCGGCCGCTATACTGTATACTTCTCTATAGCCTCTTTTTTAATAACAGAATAATCGTCAGCGCGCGAAAAGTGGCATGCAACGTATGTCAATCAATTACAATTCATTAAAATTACCAATAATAATATTAAAAACTGTCCAAAATATCTAAGAAAGCCAAAGGGCTCAATGTTTAAATCTAAATCTTCAATATTGTCTGGTTTATGTCGCAACTTGGGCCCTCTGCCCCTTTGTCCCCCCCCCCCCCCCCCCCCCCCTTATATTATTATTATCGAAATAGCCACCTGCCACTAGCAATTAGACTGTTTGGAAATATCAGTATCTCATATTCCCGGATTTTTAGATTAAATTTCTTTGACACATTTACCGTTGTATAATTTTTTTGCGAGCGAAATGAAAAATTAAAGGAATACAACGTGTAACCAAATTTTAGATACCACTTATAAGCTATAAAAAGTTCCATTTAGGCTATAAAAGGTAAATATCGTTTCATTGATCACTGTTGATACATGTCCAATGTTGCGAATCACAAACATTGAACATCAGTTGTAGCGCGATGCACTACTGGGTCGTGCGCGCATCAAATAATGCTTCTCTTCGGTAGATCGGCGAAATGCACCACTGTGCCTCACCGAGCTGCGAAGGATTGACATCGTGAATCAAAAACATCAGCATCACAAACAGCAAACATTTTGTCATACCGCGTTGTATGACCCGCCGCGCACGAGTGCGCGGCTCCCCTGTATCGTCGCGTAAGAACCTAGTGGAACGACTTTGGGGGTCGCGACGTGATACAACAAACATCAGCATCACAAACAGCAACCAAACAGCAAGCATCAGCAGCGCGCGCTTCGAGCGCGAAAAGTGGCATGTGCAACGTATGTCAACACACAACAGTCAACAGTCAAGCATCAAAATCATTGTACGCGAGATGCACTACTGGGCCGCGACGCGCATCAAATAATTCTTCTCTTCGGTAAATCGGTTGTAGCGCAATGCGTTACTGTGCCGCGCCGAGCTGAGATGAATTGACATCGTCAATTAAGTAAATCGGTAAAATGTTGCTCTAACCAGAGCCCTCTCGCTTGCAGTATCGCGCGACCGCCGAAGTACGCGTAGGCACATGGCTATGTGAAGGCAAAATGCACCAGTGAGTCTTGCCGAGCTGCGAAGGATTGACATCCTTATGCCATAATTATCATGGATAATAATAATTAATGCGACCGTCGAGCATCCAATAATGCTTTTTGCAACCACAATCTTAATATCATCTTCATTGATTCACGATGTCAATCCTTCGCAGCTCGGTGAGGCACAGTGGTGCATCTCGCCGATCTACCGAAGGTGGTTGCGAGAAGCATTATTTGATGCGCGCGCGACCCAGTAGTGCATCGCGCTACAATCATCTTCATAACTACTAATTTAAAATTGTAGGCATTATACAACCTACCAGGACGCGCGCTGAGTATATATGGAACAAATACTTTACGAGTATCACCCGTTAAATTTAAAACCAAAACTACCTCAAAACAGCTAAAGCATAAATTACCTGAGGACCCCAGGCTATTATGTTCATTAACATAATGGAATGACATTGGCGGAATGACAGGCTGAGCGCGGCCCAGTAAAAGCATAAACAGCTCATACATCGTTTTACAAGCCTATCATGTGCGCGCGTTTTACAAAACGGTTATTTGCTCATAACTCGTCAAGAAATGATTTTCATGCTACGTAATATAAGGTTTTATTTAAAATCAGCATAAAAATGCATTGGTAAAGTTTACTTTTACAATCCCACAGCTTACTAATTTTACAAAAACGTATAAGCATGTACACAGAACGGTCGAAATCTAATCACGATCCCTTATCATTCAACAATACAACTTTCCTTAAATGGGCGAGTTGCGCTATAACTGGGCCTCGAATTTCTTCGAAGTAGCGCGCGCCGCTTTCGTCTCGAAATGTTAGCCCGAGGCTAGTGCTACGAAATAGCGAGCGCCAGGTTAGTCCATTAACAATGGACAAGTAGGCCTATAAAATATAAAAACTGCAAAAATGTGCTAAAAAGCGCGCGCGCAGCGATTGTCCATTGTTAATAGACTAGCCCGGTGCGCGTTACTTTGTAGCACTTGCATCGCGCGGGGTATTAACGGATGATACTCTTAAAATATTCGTCGACGATCAGTACAGAGTACAATTCGCCCAGCTCCAAAAGGGGTTGCAGATAAAAAGGTCGCAAGATACCTTTCTCGCCGGCCGGCCGGAGTGCATGAGAGCTAGATATACAACGTCAAACGTGTAAGCTGTGTAGCAAGTAATAAAGCTACATGAACTGATCAACAGCAATTATATGATTGATTAGCCTTTTTAGGTTTATAACCTACCAGGACGCGCACCGAGTTGGACTCGTCGACGGTATGGGACAAATATTTTACGAGTATCGACCGTTAAATTAGCCTATAAGTATATAATTACAAAATTAGCCTAAATTACAAAACTCCGTCAAATCAATTAACGCATAGATTGAAAATGCTCACAAGCCGGCTAGTGCCTAGTGGTCATTTTTATTTACTGGCTACTACTACTAGCCCGTCACTACTAGAAAAGCTCCCTTTTGACTAAATTAAGACTAGGTGTTCACTAGCCGGCTACATTTATCGTAGTTTTACTTTTATGACCTTAAAAACTATGTTTTACTGATACTCTGATACTGAGCTAAAAATCAGATAGAATATTTATGTTATACACTAACTATTAACTATCATATTTAATTGATTTCATTAACAAATGTTGATATTTTACTATTTTATAGACTGCAGACTGTAACTTACAGTTTGAGTTATTTAATTTAGTACTAAAGCCCAAATATGGGTGTAGCTTTTTTGGCTGATAAATCAGCAACTTGCATATACATTTATTCATTATTAACGAGAAAGTGGCCTTTCGTCCTATTCATTGTTACAAGCAAACTTTTTATTTTGTAACATCTTCAGTTTCTCTATAACACATGTCTTTACAGGTTGAGCAATTGTTAGTAAATATTTGATACGTAAATTTTAGTACGAAATAAAACAATCTTATATTTTTAAATGCAGGTTTCAAACGCATCAAAAGAGATCGACTAACAAAAGATGACACCAGCAGATTATCATTAAAAACCACCATCAGAACATACATCTTCAACAAAAAACTGAGATAACAATTCGAAAGTTGGCATACTCCCAGGAAACATATCTATAGTTATTTGTCCCATCCACAAAAATGCGATTTACTCTAAGAGAATACCAAGTGTTGCATTTGCAATGGTAGGAATGATCACTGAATCAAGCTGATCAATCGGTTAATTAATTAATTAAATAATCAATCAACTGATTAATTTATATGTCATCTCCTGCCAGTCGGTCGCCCTGTTGGCTGAATTTTCGGTACAGACCATCTGTCTCGTACCACTGTCTCAATATTATCTCTCTCTCACTCCGATTTCCCTCCGTTTCTTAGTCCACCCGGACCGCAATCTCTCCACTCCACCACCAGAATGACAGAGCCCTATTATTTATTGTTTCATTAATAAGTCAATATGGAGACTTTTGGGATGTGAAGGTTGAGTTGGACAGGATAAAAGATGGCGGGATATGTTACAAATGATTGGGATGGTTAAGGTTAACCGTTAAGATTAGATTTATTCGGAACAAGGTCATTCTGGAGGTCGGCGGGGAGATATCATATCTGTTCATCACATATCATATATTACACAGAAATCAAATTCACTGTTATTCTCTTAAAAATCATACAAAATCTCAGTCTCATATCGTATCATCATCATCATCAATATTCTCAATATCCAGTATCCACCCTCACGGGAAATCAGCAATCAGTCGGCCGAAAAAGAGACAGTCATTTCGCGGCTCCTTTTCCTCACAGGGAATCACAGTTCCCGTAGTTACATAAACAAGTAACCATAGTTACATAAACAAGTAACCATAGTTACATAAACAAGTAAGATGTTTTCTTTATACAGTATTATCATTGTACATATTACCTTGAATTTCAAGCAAATTGAACGTTTGTACGATCACAACCGAACCTGCCACCATCAGCCGCTACTTTTCAAATTGTTTTTTCCATCACTACACTCAGGTGTAGTAACGCCTGTTAAACGAGGAGGTGTGCGAACAACACTTACCAAGTTGCTGTGTAACGTACATATTGAGGAGCAGTATGACGGTTATCTCGTATTATTGTTTGGAAGGGGCTGGCTGTGGCGGCAGGACCGATCCATGGCGGCTAAACGGCATGGTAGCCGCCGCCATATACAATACCTTGTACGGTGTACATTCCATAATCCATATACATAGTACCCTTGAAAAAAACAGTCCTCTGCTTCTGGGCAGAGCTATATTAAGCTTCACAACTTGATTCGGACTTAGAGGGCACTTTTCTACCTGCTCTCTTGAGAAATGTGACCTTAAAGAAGGCACAGTGACGCAGCACACGCACGTGCTAGTGTAACCATGACAACGCACACGCACGTGCTAGTGTAACCATGACAACGCACACGCACGTGCTAGTGTAACCATGACAACGCACACGCACGTGCTAGTGTAACCATGACAACGCACACGCACGTGCTAGTGTAACCATGACAACGCACACGCAGGGAGGTGAAATAGTTCCCTCTTTGTCCTTCACAAGCGTGCTCGTGTGATTGTATGTGTGTTGGTTTAGCGTATCTGTATTGTTTATAATATCTTATAAATACAGGAGACCTAGAAATCGGATTATTACATACTCTGGAAAACCTCAACCCGTCAAAGAAGAATCAACAACATCAATTAGATCAAGATATAATCATATCAACATAATCAAATCGACACCAGCTGATTAGAAAATCTCCATCGGGGTAAAATTCTCATAAACACCGACTATCTACATCTCCTGTCGACATTTTTTTGGTATATTGCACCCCTTTTGTCATTTTTTTGTAATACAGATAGTAAACACGTGTTGTGAGATGCCATGGCAACTTGGCCTGATAATATAACTAGTACTGCATTGTGTCCTAATTTTAATGGAATTAAATTATCAATATTCGAATCTACTAAACATTTGAAGGTTTATTTCATACGAATGTTAAATGGGATCAAAGTGTGTCAAAGCTGGAGTAAATTAAGGTCGTATTCATTCAATCTTTATTGATTTACTGGAATTTTTTAAAATAAAAAGGCCATATTTGCAGTTCTAAGCTATCTTCTCAAACCGAGCAGTCAGCCATCTCACCATCTGAATATAAACATTCCCAAATGTTAAAATCGCTAACCCTTTACACTGATATTATCTTTCAAATTACTTGGCAGAAAACCCCACAAAGAATACGTGAAAAGAGGAAGGGGAATAATCAATAGCTTTCCCGAAATTGTATTAAATGAAAACAACTATAACCGTTATTAAAAGCAAAAAGACGGTTCTTAATAATAAAAAAGGAGACAAAACCAAATCACAACATTTTCGTTTTCCTATTCATCATCGCATTGGTCGGACTGAACTCAAAAAAAATTACAAAATTTGTTATGAAGAATCTTAGTGGAATCCACGACAGCAGATCTCATGATAATTAACCTAAAAATAGCACCTAGACAAACTAGCGAATCTACCACGTGACATGTCACGTTACATGCCACAAAGCTTGCAGTTGTGGTAAAGTAAGCTGTGTTCCTAGTTATTAACTATCGCTATTATTATTATTAAAGCAAATTCAAAGGCAGAGCGTCCAAAATAAAAATGAGCCAAAAATTGCCAATCAAAATCCATAAAACTTCTAAAAACATCAATAAAAGGGACCATGAGTTGGAGACTATAAAAAAGTGGATAGATCGAGCACGTGACTTAAAACTAGCCTGATGGAAACCAGAGACCACTCTAGTACAGCACTCACCAGGCCGGATAAATAACTTTGCAAAGGAGCAAGGCAGATTAAATAACGTTATGAAGGAGCAAGGATAACCCCAGATATATTTTCTTTCCCCACGCGAATTAAATCATTTCAAAAATTTCAACAATTATATTTCGAAGATTTATCTTAAAATTCAAATCATATTATCTCAAAAGTCCACATTACATGAAGAACATATTTCTCAACATAAAATGTTTATCTTTAAAGGCATCAAAGACAGCGCCTGCACGTACTACCGCGTAAACCGTTACCAAAGGAACAACAATCAATCAAGTAACGTGACCAATCAATTAAGTCATGTGATTAATTACCGATACCACGTGGCTAGGAAGCTTCTTTGTAGTTGTCGAGGTTCTCAAGGCCTTGGCCCACATACCGTGCCACAGTGTAGAGGTGAGTGGTCGAGCTGATAGGACACACTTGTTCGTCCAGATAGTTGAAAAATCCTGAAAACATGTTCGGGTTAGAATTTAGTATGGGTTTAAAAATCAATGAATTAAAATCGCAATTCAAAACATCTTCTATTAAAGTTGCCTCAAAGTTTTCAAATCAAACGCAAGGAAATATTTCGTGGAGCTAATACAAAATCTCTCATCTTGATCAATCAGGTAATCAACTCACCTAAAGAATGCTGAGCTAACGTGCCGGCCTCCTCCCAGTAATCAACCCAACAGTTGAGAGCTTGAGCTAGCTTGAAATACTTGGAGATATCCTTGATGAACCTAGTTGGAACAGTATCAGTATTGTGATGCATGTTGGTATCCAACACTTCAGTTCCAGTGTAACTGGCCATGCTCATCAAGCTGCCAGCAGGTGAGGGAGTTGGTGAGTCTCCTGATTTCATGGAGGTGTTGTTGTTTCCCCCGCTGCTCTGGGACCGGTTCTGTACCTGGACCTCTTTCTGTTTCTGTCTGATGATGTGGCTACATGACCTCTGTAGGTTGAGATACTCTGCCCTTCTGTTGGTCCAGATTGTACGTTGTATGTGGGACACCAGTAGGAGACACAGGACTGCTAATCGCTTATCCTGAGGAAGTCATAATTGTTAAATAATATTGTTAATATTTACAGTTTTTAAATAATGTAAGAGTTTTGTTTATATATATACGTATTAACTTTTAAGGGTTGACAGTCAATGTGATGCTTAATTGAATACTATGCAGTTAGCACGTGAGATTAACTACATTTTTGTAAGTGCATTCGAGCAAAATACAGGATGTTCTTACCTGTATCCTGACATCTAGACCGTTATTTGACCGCAGTCTCAAACAAAAGTCGATGATATTAGCTGTATCGTGCAACCACACGTAGCAGCTTTTGAAATCCTGCTTCTGTTGAGCACTGAGGGCAGCGTATACGTACCTGAAGAAATTAACTAATCAGTTGGCTAATTGGTTAATCGGTTTTTGATAGAGTTGACCACTCATGAAAGTCAGCGGTGAGTTTGTCAAAACATTTACAATTTATCGGGAGATATTTTCCTTGAAAGGATTTTCCCGGAATTTCTTTCACGAAACAGCAGTTTCGACGAAATCATCACACTATTATTGTTTTCGTGACTTTACCTATATAATACTAAGTTTAAAACACAACACAGTTCAAAAGTTTGCAAACCTAGTCTCCGCACGGAAATGAGCACACTTGAACTTTTCATGAGTTAAAAGAGACTAAATTAAGGTTCCATACGAATAACTCTGTGTTTAAAATCTAACACTGCAAAACTGAACATGTTACTCACTGGATGGAAGCCTCCATGTACTTCTTTATCTTCAATGCCTGGTTGTGGGTTATATTATCTGCCTCTTTCTTCAACGCATGACCCTTCTTGTAGTAAACCTCAAACTTAAGGAGTCCTTTTAGGGCCTTGTCCAGATCACCCTTCTCACTGTCCTGCTGAGATACACTAGCAAAGGTACATTGAGTCCTGGTAGGGGGCAGGAGGTTTCTGGGTTGTTGGACTAGGTATGCTAAACTGGGGATAGCTGCAATCGTGTGGATGCCTGGAACTGAAAGTATGAAGTGTTAAAGGGAGGAGAAAGTGTAAACAAACCGTTTAAGTTTCAATATTTAATGTTAATTATTTGATGGTTCACTGGTTTATAAAAAATTGATTTTTTGCTTCCACATTAACACAACATTATTTGAATAACAACCAAACGTTATTTTACAAACCTTGGTGTAAACCTTGCAGGTATGCAGAGTGTTGGAATGTGTCGTATTCTGGGGGCTCTCTTGTGATTCTACGTCTTTTTGGTGGGTAACCGTACTCTCGCTTATCTCTGTGAAGATACTTGGGTTAGTTTGAGTTTTACAATGTAACAATGGACCCACAACCAAGTTAATTGTCGTTAACTTGGTTACTTTATAATATCAGAAGTTGAATGAGCGAGATTTTGTTTGTTAGCCATTTCATGAAGTATGATGCATGTGCATAATCATAATATTAATATCTTCTAGTTGCTTAAGGACAAGACAAGATGTTTCAATGAGAAAAATGAATGTATGTATTTTACATTATTCTTCTCATAAGTGTTAAGCAGATATTGCAATAAACTTTCATCACATAATATCGCAGCAACGACACAGCATAACTGTTCACATTATTACAAAGAAAAAATATGTAGCCTTTGCTTTAATAAGTCGTTTTATTGAGGAGATGTCCCCTCTTTATAACATGGCTAATAAAGCCATTGGCTATCTGCCAAAGATAACTTATAAGACCCGTACCTGTGATAGACTTGGTCAGGAGACTGATCCCGGTCCGGTGACACAGATTCGCGTTTCTCATGCTGCCCACGTGCAACATGTTCTGCGCGCGGCATGGCCGGCACTTTGGTCACATTGGTCACATGGTCTGCACGTGGAATACACGGAACTTTGCACGACGGCTTCTCGTGTGGTTTACCCTCCTCCTCGTTAGAAGATTCAGATTCTCCTCTTTTTGAACGATAGGATTTGACGGAAGAAATCAGTTCGGGGTGGTTCAGGGACCTGGGGAGAAATTTTAATTTAATCTTAATGAATGATTCAGTTTTTTAGAGACAAATTTTGTGAATAATTCCATATTTTAAGGGAAGAGGAAGTACAATTGCTATTAATTTTTGGACACATCCCAAAAGAGTTTGATAAACACTATAACATTCCTAATTCAATTCATTCCAACTTTTGTAGATGAAACAACGAAAAACTAACCTGGTGGAAATCTTCTCAAAACCAAAAGAGAGCAGCAGATTAAACTGGGCACCTGAAGCCAACAATCGTCTGATATCAACAAGATTATCATCAGTAACCGGAGTTTCCCTGATGTTGCGCAACATCTCACCCATTGCCCCAGACCCTGAAACACAATGGGGTTAATCAATTAGTAGTTCAATCAGCAGGTAATTAACGAACCGAGCTTTTTTATTGAACTCATCGTAAGGGGATAAAAGAAATATACCGGTTACATGATCTTATAAACGAGTAAGCACCTTCATCGTCACAAAGGGAGGCGTTTTTCATCCGCGGGTTGACAGCAACAAAAGGTTTCTGCTCCCTCTTTTCGACCTGGATTTTAAAATACTCAATACTATCATTCACTATTACAGACCTATCGAAACAGTACAGTAATACATTAAAATAATAATGTATAATATAACATGGTTGCTTGTTATCATAACGCAAACTTCTAGCATTAGAAAAACCATTTCACATACCTCTATTGAAGTTTCAGGGGCTGGTAAGGAGAAGGCTGCAGCTGCTGCACAAGCCTTTACAGCTTCTTTATCTATCCTTTCCGGTTTAACTTTAACGCTGTCCTCAACTGGTCTTTCTTCCAGCTTCACCCTGGGTTTCATTTTCGGTTTCTCCTCATGCTTTATTGTAGGTTTCTCCTCAACTTTCACTTTCGGTTTCGGATCCTCTAATTTCACACTTGGATTGCTGTCGAATTTGAACCGTGGCTCGGGGTCAGATAAAGGTTCCTTTTTTACGTCAATTTCCATCACGCTCTTACTGAGAGGGAACTCGTCACAGTCCTGGTCACTATCAATATCAGAACCACTGAGATCTCCAGCAGATACCAACGGCTCAATCACTTTCGGTTTCAGTTTCACTGTTGAGGACGGCTCGTCCATCAGTTTCCCTTTCAGCTTGACGGCGGGTGAGGACGGCAGGATAGAATCGTCCATCAATTTTGCCTTCAGTTTCTCCAAGTCGAGTTCCTCCTCGTCCGAATCTTCAGATTCCACTTCTGCTCTTACGCATCTGAAATATTAATATTTTAAATATGCTTCTTATTCTACAAATTCTTCCAGTTAATCGGATTTTTGTTTCTAGGTAAACAATTTTTACACTCCAACAAAATAAAGTTAGCGACACAGCACCCTGAATTATTTGACAAGTGCAATGAAACGGTTGAGAATTCTTATGTTTAACTTGGAGTAACCGGAAAGTTGCCTACGAAGAAAGTTCCGAGCCACAATGGTTAAATTCCACGAAATTCAAATTATAATATAATTTTAGTCACGAGATCATTTTCGAACGCGAAACCTTATTAAAGATAATGTCTGAAGACAAGCGGCTTTATCACTGGGAGACCAGTGGAATGTTTAGGTTCAAACAGCTGGGTACGCAAACTTGCAGATAAACTACGGAAGGGGTAAGTGAGCTCTCAAATTCTCAAAACTGCCTGGTTTTTGAGAAACTCATCGGTGACCCAAGAGATATAAAAAGTTTTGACGGACGGCTTACATTAGACGTAAGTGTTAAAAAAGGGTGAATTTTTACCTGGGAGCTGAATATCGTGATTGAGAGGAGGATAAGGTCTTCTTGTGGGAGTGAGGTAGAGGTGACATGTCTCCAGCACCGTTACACCTCATCACCTTAAAATAAAGGTGTTACAACTCAACACCACGAAAATAGAGGCACCTTATCACAATGACAAATTATATCAGCAAGTAAAACTTAAATAGCACAACGGAAAAAACGAATATGTTCACAACAAAACTGAGCGAAAGAGTTCATTTAATATCATAGCTTTCCCAATATCTAAACTTAAAGAATTCAAAGTCACGAGATATAATGGTGTTATTAGTAACTAAATCTTCATAATCTTTCATGAGGAAGCAAATAATATTATACATAGTTGCAATTCAGAGTAATCTCATATTAACGTGAGAAATGTGGTTAATATACATATTTGCCGGAGTCATCTAAATTTTAAAGATGACGTTGTCGAGATAGAAACTATAACCACAATGTTGATGCCAACTATAACGGTACACGACTTACTATTATCTCAAATAGGTACCCTGAGCGGACCGGAAATGCTCTTTACATGTCATTATTTCAGAGGTTTAAGGCTTATAAACGGGACCAACTGTTTACTAATGGTTAAGGCGCAGGTTCCTTAAATATTACCTAAAATATCACCTTAAATATTACCTTAATTATTACCTTAATTAAGTATGCGTTATAGTTGTAAAAAGAAAAGGTAAGCAAGGAATCAGTTACAATTCTAGGGCTTGTCAGGAGTTCAAACTGTGCAGCTGAACTGACTAAACAGCAGTAAGGCAGTGCATCTATGATCAAAGGCAGCAGCCAGTAAGTCTGTGAATAAAAGCAATACAGGGGTACATCTATGAATAAGGGAATACTCACATTGAATATGCTAGTGAGTCTGAAGATGTCACTGGTAGACAGGGTAGTATCACTCTCGATATCACTATCTATCCCAGATCCAGCTGTGTGAGGGCGCTTTCTGTCCCGGTGTCTGTGGTCAGATTTCCGTCTCTGGTCCCTCTTTCTCTCGCCTGGGACCAAGTTATTGTTACTTAGCGTTACTTGGTTACTTAGCGTTACTTGGTTACTTAGCGTTACTTGGTTACTTAGCGTTACTTGTTTACTTAACGTTACTTGGTTACTGAGACTAACCAATGGTTACTTATCCACTAATTGTCACTGCTCCAACATGATCGTTATCCTTAGACCTATAAGCTAGGATACAAGGCTTATTCATGAGTGTATGGGCTATTGTTTAGCTCATACACTCACAATGTCATAGCTCCAGGAGAAGGGTCAGGAACATGAACCCGTAACATCGTACCATAACCACCTGATGCCCCCCTCCCTCAATAACCGGTTATAAATTACCAGGGTGGTTAAACTACCATAATCCATATTATAATATCCAGCTGGCATTATCACAGAAATTACCCTGATATCTCATAACTTCATAATACCGGTATATCATGACAAATTATCCAGAGAGTTGGACTCTACCCAAATATCTTAGAACCCAAACAATCAGCTCATTTGTCAGGTCAAACCAGCGGAAAGTTCTAGAACGCCCCATGTCCTTGAATAGGAAAACTATTTTCTTATTACCTGAGAGGTGTCTGGTTTCGGAGGAGTCCTTACGGTCGCTGGAAGATCTCCGTCTCTCTGTGGAGCTGGAGTTGTGGTATTTCCTCTTGTCCTGGTTGGGAACATTGTTATTTAAACTGTTCAGATTGGTGGAAAGCCAAGAAATTATTTGATGGGAAACGGCCTACTTAATAATAGATGCATTGTAAAACATATTCTCATGATTCCCATAATCCCCGTAATTTCCCGCGGGATAAAAGAAGAATTAACCTGTTTAGTTCTCCTCTCATCACCCGACTCCTCAATTTTGACCTTGCTCCCAGGTAACTTGGTGAACTCTAACAGGCCCTCCTTCTCCACCCTCTCTTTCAGAGCCCGATGTGTCACCTGAACACCACGTGGTACTTCACATGGTTTTGTCCGTGATTTGTTGATCTTATCTCTCAGATCAGTTGATTTGGTGGTCACGTGGCTGGTAGTGGAAGAGTCCGTTGCTATGGGGTCGCGGTCACGTGTTGAGCCAGGCATCTTGCGTTTGTCTTTGTTGGCGGTGCAGGTGGGGGAGGGAGTGCAGGTGGGGGATTGCAGAGAGGAAATTCCTTGCATTCTTTGGAAATTCCGCAACTGCTTGAAGTCTGCGTAGGAGCCCAAGGCAGCCTGGTGGGAAGATCTGTTAGCCAGCTAACAATTAATCTGTCAATCAGAAAACTGATTTTACTATTGATTCGTTGAGCATTGATAGTGAAATTTGGGACAAAGAGGGTGACATAAAAGTTCTTAAAAGTAGGATCGGTCACGAGCATATTTCAAATACTCGTGCTTTTTTGTAGCACTTAACAGGATTGATAATTATACTGCAAACATTGTTCACGTCTGAAAAACTAAAACTTCAAACTCACATTTAGTATGAATGGCTCTACGCAAGTGCCGTTAAAATGTGAACTAACATAGGTCTCTATTAAAATATGAAATAACATACCTCGATCCTGTTCTTATTGAAGCCATCTTCTCCTCTTTCTTTGTGTTTACCGTTAGCCTGAACAGATTCTTGTTAAATACCGCAAAAAATTAGACAATGATAATTTCAAAATAAAACGTCTTGACAAAAACCTTAAAAATATTGTTAGCAAATTATAGTCCCATAACGAGACGTAAAGATTAAATACATTTCAAGTAATAAAAATTAAATTAATACCTTCTCTGGAGACGAATTTATCGGCGACACCTGTAAGGATAAGATGATGTTAGAATTTGGAGAATAGTATTTGGAGTCATGAAGACACCCGAGAAATACTGAGAAATACCGAGAAAGTTTACAGTCTCCCCGTTAACAGAAAATACCGGTTAAACTTGATATTGAGATTAGATAATAGGTATAAATATGCGTTCTGTTTCAAAGTGAAACATTGTGGTCCGTGGGTAATGAGGCATACTTGCACTGTCCAAATCACACGCTCGCTAATCACACACACGCTCACTAATCACACACTCGTTAATCACACACACTCGCTAATCACAAACTCGCTTCAAAACCTACAAAGTTACCTCACAAACACTGGACCGATACTTCAGTTTTATCACACTTTCTTAACTTTTAACACTCTGTCGCTGTCTAAAACTAGACTGTTCAGGAGACACTCAATTAGAAGGAGATGCAGGGGGCTGGCAGGGTTTTGAAAAAAGTCATGCTTCAAATATATTCTAAGTTGTAACGGCTAGACGGCTCAAATCACCTAACAAGGAAGAATAAGCATCCAAAATACGAACTGTTCTCGTGTCATGGAACTAAGGCACTGAGTTTTACATGACTTCAACATTATTGGCTGATCCCCAAACAGTGTTCTTGGTATCATTTGTCATCCGGTCATCGCCAAAAATTTGAAAAAAACTGTAGACCGATGAAGGAAACCCTAGTCCAGGACTTTAAGACTAAGTTGTGAGATGAGGCGGATATAAGAGGAGAAAGAGACAGATGAGATTTAGACAAGTCACAAGAAAACAGATAAGTTGACAATTACAATTAGCTTCAGTGAACTGCGTGGATGCTGCACGACTGTATGTGTTTTACAGTTAACAATATGAGATATAAGTTCTGGGAACTATAACAAGATAACAGTGCTATTAGCTTCTTAGTACCTACTTTTCAGTACTGGGACTCAGTGTTCCCCGGAGTAAAACTACTCAAAAACTAAAACTAAATTAAAACTACTTACATCAGGACGGTTGTTGATGGACAGATCGAGCGTCATTCGGTCAAAGTCCGGTCTGAACAGTTTGTCCGCAATGTCTCCATTCATCGTCATCTCCCGTCTCCGAAGCTTCTCCGATATTCGCTTCTCTGTCCGTGGGCTGCGTGGGCATGATGCTGTGCTCATTAGGCTGAGGGGGTTAATTGGGTCAATTAGCTGCCAATTAGTTGGTTAATTAACTTAATATTGGTTAATCAACTTAATATCGGATTATTGATAAGTTTTATAATTGCTATGTTAGTCGTAAGGCTGTCAGCATCAGAGGTGAATCACTATTCACTATTTACGGTAAGTTTGAGGGGGATTGTATTTCCACATTATCCGATTTCACGTGTCAAACCAAACATAACCTCATCTCAACAAATATAGGGAATTGAACATAATCGGCGTAATTGGAATTCCGTAAACTAATCAGTCTTACATGATACAATGACACATGTGAGCAAGGTCCGACAATACAATGAAGCCAAGGCAAGTGAGACTAAACTCAACTGTGACAAAAGGCCAAGGCCAAGGTACTATGTGTTTAACTAGAAAAAGATATTTTTTCCAGGAAATGGATTAGAAATACACTAGAACAGGTTGAAGATGTTCATGAATAACATTGGAAATTATACATGGTGGACTTGTACATTATTATATCGCGGTGCACTCACATAAAGTAATAATATCATGATATAATGTATACACTTTTAACGGTTATAATTATACCATGACATACAGTGTGCACGTGCGTTGTGCATGTGCACTTGCACTGGTGTGTCGATACATATCCACACGTGCAACAGACAGCAGAGATCACGACTGCTGATTGCACTTGATTAGCTATAATCACCCTAATTAGTTATTATAATTATCTCTACCTATATTTAATCATAATCACCTAAAATTACGATCAGTAATAATAAGTATAACCTCTGTGACGTGCCCGTTATTGCCGGATTACTCGCTCTGCTACTAACTATGTGCACGTGATAATGTCAGTATACAGACTATAGTGTCCCGTACAACTCAGCTCAGAATCATGTCTATTATTATACACATATAACACGGTTCACAATAACGTGCAGAAGAACACGTCACGTGATGTAGGAACCTAGTGGTAAGTACACGTCACGTGATGTAGGAACCTAGTGGTAAGTACACTTCAAGTGATGTAGGAACCTAGTGGTAAGTACACGTCACGTGATGTAGGAACCTAGTGGTAAGTACACGTCACGTGATGTAGGAACCTAGTGGTAAGTACACGTCACGTGATGTAGGAACCTAGTGGTAAGTACACGTCACGTGATGTAGGAACCTAGTGGTAAGTACACGTCACGTGTGGTAATCATTACACTTCATGCCATGTGACACGTGTAAACTAAGGATTGCTAATAGTAAGCATACTAATATGTTATAATAATATGATAATACAGTACTACACAGGTAAACACAAAATACGATGGTGCAACGTTGCAGGCGTGGAAAACGTGTCCATCTATTCAGGCTGAGAACGAAAACAAGTGATGATAATGACATTAAATATTAGATTAAATAAATATAAGATTAAATAACTATAAGATTAAATAACTATAAGATTAAATAAATATTAGATTAAATAAATATTAATGAAAAGGTAACATTCAGTGTGGGGATACACAATTTGAAACTTATTTATTCTATGTAATAAAAGGAACTAGAAGATTAAAAAACCACACGCAGAAGGTGCAGATTAAGGGGGGGGGGGTCAATGGGTATTTTTTTGTGAAACTTGATTTCGAGATAGTAGTTGACCAACAAACTAGGACCAGTGACCGAACTTTTGAGGGGGTCCCGGACCCCAACCGCCAAACGGTGCGCGCAGGGCAGCCACGCCCATATTTGGTCCAAATTAGGCCCAATTTAGCCAAATACCCTGAACATGCCCAAAACCCAGGTTTATGGTGCTCTAAGTTTGTAGCTAGTGGTCTCCTGAACTCGTATATGAAATTTCATCAAGATTGGACAAAAAATGACTGAGTTATGAGCCAAAAACCATATGCCCATATTTGGGCATACGCACCAAATTTGGTAGATTTCGTCCCATAAATTGGTCAAATATCAATATTTTTGGATGAGACTTACTTTATATGAAAGGTAAGCCTAAACTACATATTCTCTGTAAGTTATAGCTTTATATCTGTTTAAATGTGGATACTAAGGCGAAAAAACCACAAAAAATGAACTAAATTGCCCATATCTCGGTTCGCGATATTCGCGGAATTGATCTCACCAAAATTGTAACAACTCAATCAGTTTTCAAAATTTTTGCATGAAATTTTTGAAATCGACTCGAAATCGCATTTCGACCTTATTTTAAGAACGGATTTTTGATTTAGGCCTCAAAAAAAATTTGGCGGCCAAATTCTGAATTTCTGTAATATAATTTTGGAATTTGGCCGCCAAATTTTTTTTGAGGCCTAAATCAAAAATCCGTTCTTAAAATAAGGTCGAAATGCGATTTCGAGTCGATTCCAAAAATTTCATGCAAACATTTTGAAAACTGATTGAGTTGTTACAATTTTGGTGAGATCAATTCCGCGAATATCGCGAACCGAGATATGGGCAATTTAGTTCATTTTTTGTGGTTTTTTCGCCTTAGTATCCACATTTAAACAGATATAAAGCTATAAATTACAGAGAATATGTAGTTTAGGCTTACCTTTCATATAAAGTAAGTTTCATTCAAAAATATTGATATTTGACCAATTTATGGGACGAAATCTACCAAATTTGGTGCGTATGCCCAAATATGGGCATATGGTTTTTGGCTCATAACTCAGTCATTTTTTGTCCAATCTTGATGAAATTTCATATACGAGTTCAGGAGACCACTAGCTACAAGTAGAGCACCATAAACCTGGCTTTGGGGCATGTACAGGGTATTTGGCTAAATTGGGCCTAATTTGGACCAAATATGGGCGTGGCTGCCCTGCGCGCACCGTTTGGCGGTTGGGGTCCGGGACCCCCTCAAAAGTTCGGTCACTGGTCCTAGTTTGTTGGTCAACTGCTATCTCGAAATCAAGTTTCACAAAAAAATACCCATTGGCCCCCCCCCTTAAAGATCTAAATAAAACAGAAAGATCTGGAAACACCATTCAGGATGTTTCTTTATACCTTGGTTCAGGTTTCGTTAAATGACAAATACAAGCTTCTAGAAGGAACTAAACGCACCAGAAACATTTAAGAACCATAAATTCTTGAAAGATCTGGAAACACCATTAAGAATTCGACTTCTAAACTCTAAAGAAACGCAGTCTCATTCGAGTCAAAATGGGGGCAAAAATCAACGACCATTGTGACTATAAAGACTACCATGGTCATGAGGGGAAGGGTCACTAGAAACTAAGGACTGTGCTGAGAGGTAGCCTAATATGATGGTGCAACTTAAAGAGAGTGTGTGACATTGTAGTGTGTCTAGACATTGCAGTTTACCACGTCGCTTCCCATTAGCTGGGGTAATCCTCACACACACACACACACACACACACACACACACACACACACACACACACACACACACACACACACACACGCACACACACACACACACACACACACACACACACACACACACACACACACACACACACACACACACACACACACACACACACACACACACACACACACACACACACACACACACACACACACACACACACACACACACACACACACACACACACACACACACACACACACACACACACACACACACACACACACACACACACACACACACACACACACACACACACACACACACACACACACAACCATTCTCTTAACTAAGTACGTATCTAAAGAAGCAGAGAGTTGAGAATTATAATACAACTTACTTTGATGAGGTTTAGCCATGTGGAGACATGAGCTGGGGTATTAGCATACAGATTACAGTAGAAAACGTACGCCTAAACAAGTAAAGTACAATAGAAAGTATGTCAGTACATAAAAATGTGTATCACATAAAATATGCTATCTTTTGTGTCGTGAATATTCACATATTCACATATCCCAGTTTAACAGATTATAACTGATAATGTAGTATGCACGTCACATGTGAACACCTGCAGCACTATTATATTGTAGTGGAGGATTACAAGAAATAACTTTGCGAAGGAGCAAGTAGTTTGACAAGTATAAATAAGCAACAAGTAACAACAAAACAAGCACCCACGTACAGTGTACACCTAAGATAACGGGTATTGCGGTATTATGATCAATAATAGAATAGTTGTTCCACACGGAGATCAGCAAACCGTTAACAATGTAAAAATATGTGGTGAAAATGTATACGCCTCTCTGCACACAGTACAGATTATACATTTCTTTGCAATGTAAAGAATGTACATTTTGGCAGCATGTACATGATACATTAAGAGATGATTTAACCCTGTCTGATACATGCCCACGTGCTGGCGACATACCGAGAATATTTGATGAAGGTGTGATCTCTAGTGCGGTGTGACAGTCACACACTGACACACGATAATGTGTATGTAAATAATAATATGTATGGCATGTAAAATATGTGGCAGCTAAAATCCAAGATAACTTGTCAACGGACAACAATAGTGCAGCGTTCTTACACTTGTTAAATACACTATAACATATGCCACTCATATTATGTATTGTAATTATTTTCATACATAATTGCGAGCCAGATTATAATTCTTACAGAGCACTTCCTAACACTAAAAACTACACATACACATAATACATCAACAAACTATATAATATATAGTTTGTTTTTATATGATACTTCTGCAAACTATGTATAAATACAAGAGATTTGCAACACAACAGGGTAGACTGGAAACGATAGTAATGATAATTTAAGGAACGCAACTCTGATATTATGTAGTGTGTACCTATCAGGGAACAAACACATTGATTCTTAATAACAAGCGTATTAAAACTACAATGTTACCTTTCACGTACAAGGAACAACTACCAATGAGACTACAAGTGAGAACTCCCAATGTAAAAGGTTACACATAACACAACTATGATACCTGTCTCTTATAGAGATTCTCTGAGGTAATGATACTGACAGTAGCTACAAGACAATAGCTTATTCACTGATTCACTCAAACCGGTAAAATG